ATCCGTTACCCTAGCATAACACAAGCCTTACAGTGCTTACTTTGGGGCTAGGCTAATTGGTGTGAGTGTTGGAAATATTTATTTATTTGGTACTTTATGTGGTGGCAGAAATCCATCCTCCATACAAACTCCGAACATCTCCTATGAAAGTTTGTATGTTTGTTACTCAATCACGCAAAAACAGCCGAATGGATTTGGATGGAATTTAGCACCCATATAGTTAGTTATCGGGATTGAGACGAATGATACTTTATATCTAGGAAAAAAATTAAGATTCTGTGTGTTATTCCTTTAAAAAAAACTATGTATAACACGTACGAAGTATTGGAGGGAAGATAGTTTATATTAAAAATAAGTTTATTTGATTTTAAACATTTCAATGCATTGCAAATAGTAGTTTAATTCAAAAAAATATTCAAATATTGCTTGATATTCCATGAAAATATAACTAGAAAAAAGTATTTTTTTAGATTTAAAGAATTTATTTATTATCTTACACTTCATACACGTAAACAATACTTTTAGAAAGTCCAATGGTACGGAATCTTCATGAGCGAGTCAGCTTAATAATTCCATAAAATCTCATCTATACATATAATAAAATGGAAGGAAAGTCAAAACTGTACAATGAATATTTTTTTAAAAGATTACTTGGGGTGTGATCTACAATCCATACTGAAGCCAAAAATAAAGTTTTTAGAATTTTTGTCTGTTTGTCTGTATCTATGTCCGGGATAAACTCAAAAAGTACTGCATGGATTTACTTCAAATTTGGCACGAATATTATTAAGAAGTCGGGTCAACATATAGGCTGCATATTATCACGGAACTCCACCGCTAAGGGGGTAATACGGGGTTGGAAGTTTGTATGAAAGTCCTAGTCCTTTTTGAAGTAAGAGACTTGAATTTTAACATGTATGTTCTATAGGTGGTGTAGAGGTGTACTAATAATGTATCTTTCGAAATAAACCCCCTTTTGGGGTCAATAGTACAGTCAATGAAGGCAAAAATCAGCTACAAACTCCGATTTCGTTGAACCTCCATCGATTTTCATGAAAATTGGTGAGTAGGTGGGGGATACCTTGAGAAACAAAAGTGACATAGTGCCAACTTGCGCTTTTGCCCTGGGGGTAGACGCCACCCCTTCTCGGGGGTGAAAATTAAAAATAACTCAAAAAATCTAAGCAAAATTTGTGATATAAAGTTTTTGGAATAAATCAATACTCTCTGAGTTATTAAAGAACAAAAACTATGAGTATTTACAAAAAAATATGTTTTCCAAAATTGAAGCTAATAAAAAAACAAACAAACCCCTACTTTGAAGACCCTTCTAATTTTAATTCAAAGTGAGGTATAGGTAATTGTTATAATACATTTTTGTAAAAACTCATAGGTTTTGAGTTATTTATGAAAAACCGCTTTGAAACATGTATTTTTATCACGACAAATCATCTTTAATAACTCAGAAAGTGTTGATTTATTCCAAAAACTTTGTATTACAAATTTGGCTTAGAAATTGTTTCTCTATCGATTCCTGGAGTTATTTTTATTAAAATAACTTTCACCCCCGAGAAGGGGTGGCATCTACCCCCAGAGCAAAAGCGCAAGTTGGCACTATGTCGCTTTTGTTTCTCAAGGTATCCCCCACCTACTCAGCAATTTTCATGAAAATCGATGGAGATTCAACGAAATCGGAGGTAAAAACCTTCATTGACTGGACTACAAAAAGTATGCGCAAATAACTAACTCCACGCGTACGAAGTCGCGGGCGGCCGCTAGTGAAAAATATATCTGAATCAGCAGCTTGTTGTTATACGAGAGAGAAAGCTTTGCGTCATACGGCCGACTTTTTATGCCCATTTCTCATACTGCTAGTAATAAAGCCAAATGAAAATAAAACTGTGTGCAGTAATACCTACTAGGGAATATTATGTCCTGGCGTAACATAAAAATCTTACTTTATGAGAAATCCAAGAAAAATATTAGAATATCTTTATTCTTATTATTGTTGGGCACGCATCGTAGTGATTTTATTTTTTTCAATGTAGGTATTTTCTTTAACGTCATCATTAGACTATTAATATCCCCACTGCAGGGGCACAGGCCGTCCCTGTGGATGGAATAGGGAGACTGGGCGGTGACCCACCAGGCCCATTGCGGATTGGTGGGTGCTAACGACTGCAGAGGCGGCCGAGACCAACGGCTACACGTGCCTTTCAAAGCACGGAGGAAATCGGAGATTTTGGTCACCCATCCAATGACCGACCATTGCGAAAGTTGCTCAACTTCCAAAATCACACGCCGAAAATACTAACTACGTGCTAAGCTGTCTTTAATTACCAGATATGAGAATGTTTGTCTAATATGACTGAAGAGCAGATACTAACTCGACAGTCAAAGAAAAAATTGCCTAAAACCAGCCAAGGAATGTTTCCGTACCGTGGCACAAAATGTATTTGGAATATTTCTTTATTTTGTGCTATAGCGGTATCTTCTATGTGAAAACTCATTATTTGAACTGCCCGCATGCAGATAGATGGACGACCGAATGCGGGGGTGAAATGAATAAATGCGGTTTGCATTAACAGAAATAGACGAAGTTGATGGCTAAAACTTGTATCAAAATAAAATTTATTGTGTATGAGATAGGAGTAAAACTCTCTTTTCATAAATTAATTGTGCGGTGGCACTCAATATCGTCAATAGGGATGATGGTGGGGTGTGCCTGTCCGCTAGGGGTGGGTGTTTTTAGAATAACGATGCGTGCAACCGATGCGACTGGATGCCGTTCTTGGATGCCGATGCCATCTAGTTTTTGTCAACGTTACTATAGCAACAGTGCCACAAACTTATCTGTGCCGGTTCGTCCGTCAGTTAGATTATCAAAAAAATGGACACATATTTTGTGAATCGGCAAAAAAATGTTAAAGATAAAGTGCGTCAAAACTTAGGGACTCGTGATGTCACTTTTAAGTAAAAATTGTACCAAGACGTGATGTCATGCGACATTTAAAATCAATATATCTGTAAGGTTTTGACTGTGTGAAAAAAGAAAAATGCATGTCTAATACTTTTTGTAACCTACCTGATAGATGAAGAAAAAAAACTTAGTCATCATCCCTGTTGATTTAAATGCTTCATATTATCTTATCCTATTGTGTTTGCAAAGACAATGGCAAAACTTTAATCAAACTTAAAATCTGTTGAGATCTCGATGGCAGGCATAGTTACAAAAGTTTTAGTTAGTAAGGATATCAAATCTCCAAAATCTGTTCCAAAGATTTAAGATAGTAAGGATATCAGAAACACAAAGTATCCAGTATTAATGCAGAAGATTTACAGTGGTTTAAAGTTTGTAAGAAATCTGCATCTTAATTGGATGAGATTCAATTTTTGAGATTCAAAGAAGACAATTAAAATTCAGTTATACTCGTCATCTTCTTCTTCGTCGCTAACACCATTTCAAACATTAAGGAATAGCAATAAAGTAGGTATTATTGAGTCGTTATCATTTACTCACAAAACAAATTATATTTCGTCAGTTTTCAAAGTTTTCACATCACAAATCTATTTTGCGAACATTAATACCTGTTTTCATTATGGAAACATCGGTAACTGACCACCTCATTTCCTCCCGCCTCGCTGTGGTTGCGGAATGGGTACGTTTCCTTAATCAATTCCTATTTATGTGTTTGCTGATGGTTGATTCTAGTTAAGAATCCATTTTTATCCTTTAGCAATGGGATCCTAACTAATAATAATAAGATTATTTCTCTCTACAATCTTTAACACGCTTCATAGCTAGCAGTTTAAAAAACTTATGAATAAGATTCTGAGAAACGGACTACTAGCTGATGCCTGTGTCTCAGTACACCCGCCTCTACCCACTATAAGAGGTGTTGCATAGGCAATTACAGACGGCACAGGCCGTCCCTGTGGATGGAATAGGGAGACTGGGCGGCCGAGACCAACGGCTTCACGTGCCTTTCAAAGCACGGAGGAAATCGGGATAATAAGATTTTGGTCACCCATCCAATGACCGACCATTGCGAAAGTTGCTCAATTTGCAAAATCACACGCCGAAAATACTAACTACGTGCTCAGCTGTCTTTAATTACCAGATATGAGAATGTTTGTCTAATATGACTGAAGAGCAGATACTAATTCTACAATCAAAGAAAAAATTGCCTAAAACCAGCCAAGGAATGTTTCCGTACCATGGCACAAAATGTATTTGGATTATTTCTTTATTTTGTGCTATAGCGGTATCTTCTATGTGAAAACTCATTATTTGAACTGCCCGCATGCAGATAGATGGACGACCGAATGCGGGGGTGAAATAGGCAATTACCGACTTTTTTTAAATAAAAGGTTGGCAAATAATCTTTTATTTGCCTGGCCTGTCGGATAGCTAGCGGCAAACAAAGATTCAAAACTTTGTAAGCAGCCACCATAGACTATAGACGCTTACAATACCAAAGCTATCATTTGCGCCATCACCTACCCTGACCCAATCTGCTATCCCGTGGAGCCCTAGAGCCTTAATCACCGAGAGAAACACAACACCACCAAAAGATTGTGTTACTTTAGTGTGGTCTTCTTTAAGGTGGAGGTTACTTCCCCAGACGGGCGCTCCAATTTGTGCGGGAAGCCGTTTCCTCTCCTCTCTTCGACTAGACTAGGATGGCTACAAACAAATTCTAAAGTGATTCAATAAGCTGTCAGTCCATTTTTAGTAAGTTATCTATATCTTGAACTGTAACACAAAAGTAGGTAATTTAAATTATTCCTCCTCCTTCCTTTATAAAGTTTCCTAGGTACCTACTTGGGTATTTTTCAAAAGCCATTTGAATCGAAATCGAAGTCCTCAAACTCGGCGCAATCGGGCGAACAATTTTATCGTTGTTTACAAACAACACAATCTCAATAGACAGAAAGAGAGAGTTTACATTATATATAAAAGGTACGTTTTCAGCCTCGAGTCATTCATTAGTGGTAGAGTTCCTTCATTAAGTGAACATGATAGGATCTTTTGTGTTTGCCACCCTTTGTGTCGCTTCCTATGGTCAGTATATAATATATAAGCATAGGTACTTAATATCGCATTTTCTTTGCAGGTGAAACACACTCTTAATGTAACTTTGAGTGTTTGGCAATAAAAATCTCGAGACAGTTTTCTCGGTAAACTTTTGTAAGGCCGGCAAAACTACTAGGCAGCTTAAAAGGTTTTAGCGATAGACTTTAACGGTTGTTTTTAAAGAAATAGCAACTGTTTAAACCGTGGTTTTTCAGAATTTGTGTGATATTTTTTCTTCAATTCGTGTTGCATAACTAATCTGTGAAAATAACATTAATGTTTGATTCATCATAACACCAAACCTCACTTGATGGAGTCAAGCCAAATACTATGGTACAAAAAACACAAAACAAAAAAGTTAGTTGGCCGTTCAATTTTCACACGCAAAGAAGAAGTGCCATACACAAAAGTTTAAACAGTGTCTAACTCCTTGTGTTATTTTTGTGAAAATCATGTTTTATCTTTTCTTCAGGGTCGATTCTCCCCGCGAATGATATACGCCTGTATGACAGTCGTATCGTGGGCGGTGTAGATGCACCTGAGGGGGCGATCCCGTACCAGGCTTCGTTGAGATCCTTGTTCAACTCCCATTTCTGTGGAGGGACCATCATCAGCAAAAGATGGGTGTTGACTGCAGCCCATTGTACTGTTAGGTAAGAACTAATCTTAAACTAGACTAGATAGAAAATAGAATGTGCTTTCCCTGTCTAACTATAAAAATGGACAGATGAGCATGAAAGAGACAAAGGAATTGTGCGATTTTTTTAGTTCTGTAGATATTGACTACACCATCACTTCATTAAGTATGCGATATGTCCTACTTATTAATAATTTTTCATCATCAGTTAAGGGTGAAATTTCCTCGAATAAGATATCTCAATTTTCATTATAGATTAATGAAAACGTCTCACAGATTCTTTTTTTTAAACAGGATATTACACAACGGAAGGAAAAATTCCTTACCAAATCACTCATCGTTGGTTCTTTCGTGAAAGCTCATCCATATAAAAGACTTCCGTTATTAAATTGAAATAAGAAAAATACTCTATGAACCATTCTGTAATACATTTTACGTGACTTACGCTTTTCCTGAAATGCGTACGGCATTGGACAATATGTTTAATTAATTATAACCCAAGAACAATCATAAAATTAAATAATGATGTGTTGAGAACTTTTGAGTTGGTTAATTTAATTTGGCGCTTGAATAATAATACCAATTTATTTGCTGTAATAACTAGGCATCGTCCATAAATGACATATTTCTTCCTCATAAAATATTTTCTCAAATCAACCTACTAAATCACAACATACAGCAATATTGCTCTAAGACCCACAATTATTATTACGAGTTGTGGGGTAATGTGCAACGCCTTTTTGGAAAACTTAGCAGCACAAGCACAAGCTGAGGCAGTGGCAGTGGCAGCGGCTATGGCCGTCTTAGATAGAATATATTTTTTGTGCAGAGGTTGTGCATTTTTTATTTTTAAGTTTTTGTTTAATTTGGTCAATGAGGTTTTTTTACTTAATTGGAACGAAGTTCCTTACGGCAGGCTTGGAGGGGATAGGGATTTTGCTGCGCGACCGAACTGAAAAAAATGTGATAGCAAAACCGTAAGAAAAAATCCGTGTAAAAAGGTGCGTGGAATAAAACCGTTAAATGAGACGTGCGCAGGCGCGACGAAGTTCCTTACGGCAGGCTTGGAGGGGATAGGGATTTTGCTGCGCGACCGAACTGAAAAAAATGTGATAGTAAAACCGTAAGAAAAAATCCGTGGAAAAAAGTGCGTGGAATAAAACCGTTAAATGAGACGTGCGCAGGCGCGAATTTTTCTATTTCTGTGTAATTTTATGGTGTCAAACAAAAATAAAGAGACATATTTTGTTATTTTAGTTGATAATTTGAATTACGATGTTTTTTTATTTTAAGTAATTTATTATTTCCTAAAATACTGAGTTTCCTAAATACTTTCTTGTACTTAAATAAAAACTAATCAGCAAAATTTAAGAGAAAAATCAAGAAAACCTACATAAAATTGAGCACGAATTTTTTTGCAATTTGTGTCGATTCTACATCAGCCGAAGGAACTTCGTTCCTACCTGGTGTCCCACGACACCACATGATTTTTTTTTTCATTTAATTTCTTCTACTCTTTCAGTCAATCTCCATACACCTTCCGCGTGATAGTAGGAACCAACACCCTCAGTCAAGGAGGTGACTCCTACTCCGTCTCCAAAGTGGTGGTCCACAATAAATACGACTCTCGTCGCATCACTAATGACGTCAGCGTCGTTAGGGTGTCCAGGGATATCGAGTTCAATGACCGAGTGCAGCCGATACAACTGCCTGATGAGAACACGGAAGCTGGAGCTGACCTGATACTCACTGGATGGGGGAGACTTTCAGTGAGTTTTAAATAAGGATTTATATGTAATTATTATACCTATAGTAACTTATAATGCCTTAACAATTGTGTTAAGGAAACTGAACATGAGAACCAGTCGTTCAATAGAATTTTTTGTTTTTACGCGGACCAGAATCGAATACGGTGCTTTAAGTTGAAAATGGCTAAAGCAATGTAGTACAGTATTTTATGTTAAGCATTAATCTGCTCGTGTTTTAAAAAACGATTTTTTTTTTCTAGAAAACTCTACTCGTTCAAAGTGTCAGGAGAATGTAGTCATGAACTCTGCTAAGGCGGTGATTTGCTGACTGACTTCTATGTCTTGGATCTTCACACAAATAGATCATTTCCACGTACGAGGTCTCAAGTGGATTGATATCGATATAAGTTCTACGCCCGTTATCTCTCACTAGTTGAAATTTAATGTAGTTAGATAAGTCACGTAAGCATGGCACATCAATCATCCAGTCACCACATAAGCAATACCGGTCTTCGTATAGTTAGACCATTGACATTGTTGGACCATTGATAAATATAAGTTTAGACATTAAGTATCCTATTAATCCCTTGCCTGATAAATGAGATTTAGGAGTTTTTTTTAAGTTGGAGTAAAGCTTTCGGACCGTAATCCAATATCTAACTTTAGATGATGTTACTTATCGGGTAAATTTCTTTTATTTTGCAGTACCCTGGAATTCTTGCAAATAAGCTGCAAATGATCAAACTAACGGCAGTGAGTTTAGAGAAATGCCGGCTCCGGTACTTGGGCATCAACAGCGTATTTAACTCACAAATATGTTCCTTGACCAAGTCTGGAGAGGGTGCCTGCCACGTAAGCATTATTTAGAAGAATATCCACTACGCCATTGAAATTATTCTCCTTATTTTCTTAAACAATGATTTTGGTTCTGTTAAAATTAGCCAATTCGAATTAATTTAGATTTTTATTCTCCTCTTTTGGTAAAAATAATAAAGGTACGTATTAAATTCCTAGGTATCTACCAAACTAATTTTATTTGTAAACCAAACATTTCAAAGGACAAATAAAGATGACATTACAGGAGTCCAGGAGTTGTGACTCAAAAAACTACAGAGTTGGTGAAAATTATTATAATAGATTAACTAAACATCATAAAATACAACCAAAAAATCATCACTTTTACGGCTCTTAAAATAAATCTAGAAAAATTATAATACAGGAAGCTAGGAAGCAATTTGTCACAAACTGCACGATGTAAATCAACGAGGCATTTTAGAACATACCGCATATTTGTTCAGAAATGTATTTAAGGAGGGCAATATAGGTCACACGTTCAAGCCTTCGTGTTATCATGGTGGTCAACGTCTTGCTAGTATTGAAAATTCGTTTATTCCAAAGTGAACCTAACAAACAAACATTCAATATCATCATCATCAGTCGATAGACGTCCACTGCTGGACATAGGTATCCTCAAGGATGTTTTTTTAATGCGGAAAACATCCAATATGCTTACAATAAAATCTTTTGTCTAGGATCAATAGTCTCAAGTAGACAAGATATCTCATGAACATCATAATAAACAAAGTATATGTATCCCAATTACTTCAAAATCCATTAAAATTTAACATTTAAAAGGTATATCAATGAGTATTATTCGAAAATTACAACATTTAGTGTTATAATAACCTTTAGGTATACATCCACAGTTGAATCATCAGTACCTTTTATAGTTGAATAGATTTGTTTGTCAGCTTTAAAGGGGTCCTTAATTACCATGGCTCTATTAACTGTACAGAGTTCCGACGGAAAGGGTTCCTTTAACACGATCCAGTTGACCGTTTAAATTGTAATTTACAAACTTGTTTCTTCATAGGCACAAACTTTGCGCTTTCTAATTAATTTAATTTCGAGAAGATTTATTTAGTTTTGAGTTTTCAACATATCTGCACGGCCTTATTTCTTATCCCCATATTTCTTTACAACGCTAAAAAAATATTTGGTGTGTTTAAAATCTGCATTCAAACATTTAATACCGTAGAAAAAATATTTAAAATAAGGAAATCGAAGCCAGTTTAATTTCTAAGCCCTGTCGTGTTGTCGAGCCACTGTTGTTTACACGATTGCATTGTGTCGATCTTTGTTATGTTTCTTGAAGATATGGGTACTATTTGTTTCTTATGTTTTCAGGCACAATACTCCTTAAATAAAACAAGGTTCAACGGGTTAGATGCACTGATTTTATTTATTCATTGACGTTTCGCACCCTTTGCAGGAATTATTTATTCTGACGTCGCATTCATGCATTTTTGGTGCTTAAGCTTAAGCAATAGTTTTTTTGAAGATTTTTATTGTTCACAACGCTACGCTAAACAGACATAAATTTTGTTGTTTTTTCAACCAATGGCGCTTACGCCCGCCCTACTATTTGGTGTATTTATTTGATGTTTGCTTGACAAAAAAATTATGTCTGCCCGAGTGATTTATGAAAATAATTTTATTTATATGGCGCTACTTCTCATTTTCAATGAGTTATGGTTTTTATTGTGAAAAAAAAACTTTGATCCTCGTTTCTGTAAAGTTATTACCGTAAAGTGCCGTTTAAGTAAATAATAAATAAATAAATATTTCCAACACTCACACCAATTAGCCCAGCCCCAAAGTAAGCACTGTAAGGCTTGTGTTAAGGGATACTAGGTCAACGGATAGAATACATACATTGTACATATATAAGTATATTTATATAGAAATACATATTAAACATCCATGACTGGAGTACAAATGCTAGTATTCATCACACAAACATCTGCCCCCACCGGGATTCGAACCCAGGACCTCTCGAGTCGGCGACACCATGAAACCCGGCGTACAAACCACTCGGCCACGGAGGTCGTCAAATGTGATTTTGCTTTTCCACTATCGATATATATTTTAACTCTCCTTCGTTTACGAATACATTTATTTGTTACAAGCGGCCGCCCATGACTTCGTACTCGCGGAGTTAGTTATTTGCGCATACTTTTTGTAGTCCAGTCAATGAAGGTTTTCACCCCCGATTTCGTTGAATCTCCATCGATTTTCATGAAAATTGGTGAGTCCCCCACCTACTCCATCTATGTGCAGTACTTTTTGAGTTTATCCCGGACATAGATACAGACAAACAGACAAAAATTCTAAAAACTATATTTTTGACTTCAGTATCGATTGTAGATCACACACCCAAAGTAATCTTTTAAAAAAATATTCAATATACAGTTTTGACTTTCCTAGCATTTTATTATATGTATAGATACTTTTTACTGTTCCACAATGTTTTTATTAACTGCTTTATTTACTTATTTCCGATCATAAGCCCTCTTGATTTTTTTCAATAAGGCTTTACAAAAGTTTCTATGCGAAATCTTACTTTTTTTTTTAATTTCATTATTTGGAGGCTGCTTGCACGATTTATGTAGCCTATTTCGATGATACACACTTAAGAAGTCCGTGTGTCATCAAAGGTTTCATTAGTATTTTTCGCCTTGTAATATAATTACTGTAATTTTATTTATAGCTATTTGCAATTTATTTATCAAATACTCAGTAGCAGAATCATGTTCAGCAGACTGATATAAGAGATTAAAGTAAATGTTAAATATATCATGCATTTACTGATCACGATTTACTAATTTACATATTGTGGTGGAAGATTTTGTTTCAGCTGATGTTGTTTTAATAATGTAACAGCATTATCATCAGTAATGGTTGATTCAGGAATGACCATTTAAATTGTTTTTTAGTTTTAACAAAGATATGGTCTATACTTTTTGCACTCTGGTCACGTGTTAATGATGTATGTAATGGCACAGGTCCATGAAAAGCAGGTTTAAATACCTTTCTGAATAAGAAATAATGACTCACATTAGTTCTTTTCTCTAAATTAATTGGTATTGATGTCCCCAAAAAGAATAATATTCGAAAATTCTGCCAGCTACCAATAATTCATTCAGAGCGATTAGAAATTCATTAATGTTTCGATAAAAGGGAGATTTATAAACAGCAATTTACATTTTTCATATCAGGTTCTGTGTTGTTATAAGAAAGCTCTTTATTAATGTAAATCACAATCCCGTCATCTGTAGACACACTAAATATCCGGCAAGATAAGGAATAACTGTGATTGAGCGACTACAGCATTCTGTACCCTTAGCACGAACCATTATTGAATTCGAATAGTTTGCGAGTCCGAAATGTCATTGTCAAATGTGTACTGACTTTTAGTTCTCGTTACGTAATTTGTGGCGCTGCTGTTCAAGTTTCCTATACAAAATTTGACATTGGCATTTCGCACTTGCAAACTATTCGAATTCGATAATGGTTCGTGCTAGGGGTACTGTTAGTACTAGTTTGCATTTGAATGCATATTATCCCGCATTTTGTGCTTAATGGTATCTTCCTTGTTTCCGAACTCCAGTGTACGAGTGGATTTTAACAACTATAAAATTTTGCTAATTATGGTGGAGATAATTATTTTTCGAAATTAAGAAAAAGTGATATAAATTAAAAAACAATGTATTTTATAAAAAAATATTACAAAATATTGTTTGAAAAGCCTCAATATTTTGTATTATTAATGACACCGTAATTGTCATGACACAAAATTGTACTTCTTCCACCATAATTAGAAACCGTAACAACATAAGGTATCAACAAATTTACAATCGAAAAAATTGTCTTATATAATTTGGAAAATAAAATATACTTATGAACATAAACAATTTACAGCCTTAGATATTATACAAATTAACAAAATGTAAGAGGGAAAAATTAATATTTGTCCGAAAATGACATCTAAAGTATTTTTTTCTAGTCCAATTTTATTGTCTTAAGATTCTCTAATCTATCATTTAAATGCTTAAAATTTAATAATTAAACGGAAATTTTCCGGTAATTTTTTTTTTCATTCGAGAAAAAACATAAAATAGCAAAAAAAAACATTTTTTATTTATCCTCAATTTTAAATTATACTCGTTCTCAACAAAGTTTAAATCATCTCTCATATATATTGAATTTACTACTTACCTTATCATGCTAAGTGTTTTTATTAAATTATACTAACATTAAATCAGTCTTTGAAACTAGATATTTTTATTAATAATTTTATCACAAAGAATGGAACCCAAAATTAGTTAATAATCAGTCCTTTTGATTATAATAAAACACAAGTAACTTAGAAATTTTAGAACACCCGAATGGATACTGAAAACTTTTCATGATATACCCAATAATAAAATGACACTGGTATTTACGTACCTTGTAACCTTAAATTAAATGTCAATTTAAAACTAGTTTTTTTAACTTTCAAAATCTTTTTTACTGCCTACACAAATCCTTCCTTCTTAACTCAAACTTGAATTAAAATTTTAATAATAAAATATTATATACTTCCATAGCATGACTTTGTATTTCATGTTTTTAATAAAATAATAAAATTCTTAATTCTATAAATAATTATATTTTTTTTCTCAATACAATCTGAATCATAAAAGAAAAGTTTTTGTCTCTTCAAATCTTTTGTTGCTGACATTGGACCCTCGTTAATTCAAACTTTGGTGGATTATCATCTGAGATTTCAAAACATAAGGCGCGTCAAAGTTAGTTTTTAGAAATTCGCGGAACATAAATTATTTTCGGGATAAAATGTACATCTTAATCATTTTATTCTTTTTGTGTCCATATCTTACTTTTTTTTATTTGTCAAATAATTTGTTTAAGCTTCATTACTTGAGCAACTTAATTGTCTGATAGCTTTTTCATTTTTAATTTAGTTCTTTTTTTAGGCCCTCATGTAATAAAAGCTATTCAAGTTTTAGCCTAATTATATCTTTGTCAATGTTATGGCAAAGATGGAATAATGGCTTAAACATGTTTAAGCCTTAATTTGAATTAAAAACTTTGATGCTAGTGGACTTGCGGCCGTTTGGAGTTGCAGGTAGTGTTAGTGGGTTTGGAAATAATAGATTTACTTGTAGAAAATAAATCTATTATTGCCCAAATTAACTTCTAGCCTTTAACACAGTTTAAGTTAAAATTGAAGAATATTTAGATAAAATTTTATAATGCTCTTATATTTACTGTTAAATACGGACAATTTAACGCACTACATTACAGGCTCAATCGATCAATAGCTAAATTGGTTGAAATATCTGAACTTGGACTATTTGGGGCAAAGGTCAACTTGTTTCAACATTTCTTTAAATCAGAGTTGGAATTGATCCGAAACATCAAAAATATGTATAATATTTAAAATCCCAAATCAAACGAAAGAAGCGTTTTATGATATCTTTATTTTTTTTTGTTTATTTTATCTGTTTTCCTTCCAGGGTGATTCAGGTGGCCCCCTGGTGGAGAATGGGCGTGTGGTTGGTGTGGTGTCCTGGGGTATGCCTTGCGCTCGCGGCTTTCCTGATGTCTACTCGAGAGTCCACTCCTTCAAAGACTGGATCCTGGAGAAAACCTCTGAGAATGAATAGATTTAAGAAATTATATTATTTTCCAATTTGATTATAATAAAACAAGTAATATGGTCATTTCATTATTTTTACATTTCCTTCTATATGTATGTTCAGTTCTTGCCTAATATTAAGAGGGTAAGTTAAAATTGATTCACTAATTTGGGTCGGAAATCGTCGTTTTGTGATTGCTCAGCCACACTCCTTATTTCGCGAGCGCTCGACGAACGTTTCTTCTCGTCGACTCTGTAATACGACTAACGTTTAGTGGAAATAAATTTCTACAGTTTATAGCCGTGCTATAGACCTTTGTATATCACTTTACTTTCATCATATTGACACCTCACTCACTCATACAGTCCAATTAACCAATGTTTGTTAAAATTGTGTAAAACCGCACACTGTACATTTGTACGCGGGATTTTCCAATATGTTAAATTGTCTTATAAAAGAACATGTATCTACCCCCATGCTTTAAAACCTCTATAAAAGATTCTGTTAGCTGATTGCCAACATTAAAACATCCAATGACAAAATTTAAAAAAAACTGTTATAACATCAGTTTGGGTCTGTGTTTTTTTATGAATTTCATAATAACACTATTTCGCTTTTTAAACTCCTTCCGCGCCAGGGGCTTATTGATCAGTACCCCTAGCACGAACCAAAATCGAATTCGTATTGTTTGCGAGTCCGTAATGTCATTGTCAAATGTGTACTGATTTTTAGTTCTCGTTACGTACTTTGTGCCGCTGCTGTTCAAGTTTCCATACAAAATTTGACATTAACATTTCGGTTTGCAAAGTGTCTTTTAAGTATCTTAATTAATTGTTAGTAAAAATAAGTAAGTAAAATATATTTAATTACCTTTACATTTTTTTTGTTTTCTTTCTTCTTTGTCTTCTGAGGTAACTAGTAGGGGCAGTGGAAAGAGACAAATACCATTACAATATTTAAATAAGAGAAATAATAGCGAAGAGAAAGAGAGAAATAAAACATGCGCGCACACTTTTTTCTCTTGCTTATATGTCCCACTCAACTCCCGTTCGCTTCGCCTGAACAGCCTTTTCGAGCTCCATGGAGTAGGAGATTTGGTTTGGGCAGGCATCAGCGCAAGTGGTAGCTTTAGTATCGCTAACGACTATAGGCTATGGTCACGGTAATATTATCTATAAAGTATTCTATCTTCATACAAACAGTCGGAAAGCGTGTCATACCTACGCTACGCCCCCCGAGTTCGCGCGGCACCCGGTGGGCATCCAGTCGCGAATACGTCGCACCGACGAATAAAGCTTTTCGTACGTCTCAGTCGAGGCGTAAATATTTTTCTGTCTCAAATCGATAATATTTTTTATTAAATATTACCTAAAAATAACATGTATTTTATTGAACACTTCCTAATTCATTCACAACATTTTTTTTTACATATTAAATAAAATATTTACAATCAGAAAACTAGAAAGAAACTCAATTATGTAGATGAAATTAAATTACTGTAGGCGGACAGCCCTACCGCGAGTTTACGCCCTGCTCGGCCGTAGGCAGTTATTTCAAGGACAGGGCCGAGTCACAATACTGTATAGATAATATTACCGTGCTATGGTGGCAGCTTAGCATCAGGTAGGTCATATGCTAGTTTGCCACCCTTTTAACATACAAAATAGATCGATTGATTGCTTTGATCACCAACGATTCCCTTTTATTCTACTTAATAAACTGTTTACCTTATAATCAACGTTACATCAATTCAACGTTTAACAATTTTATTATTATTAAATAGCAATAAACACAAAAAATAAAACTTTTACCGTTACCATGAAAACGGTATTCAATATCGCGCATATCATATGAGAAATAAGGTAGTCTTATGAGAATTCAATATAATCTTTATCGTTCTCGATATTATTTATTACTATCAGTAAAATGTGAGGGTGTCTTATAAAATGCAATTCCCCTAACGTTGGTTACAGTCCATTTTAAAAAGAAATCTAATTCAGTGACACAATATGATGTTATTTGTTTGTAAAAAATGATCTTTCTTTCTTGTGAACTATGTCTTTTGCAATTTTGACAAATAATATCTCATACTAATTAACATTTATATTAACATGAAATTCATTTACATCTATAGTTTTATAGCTTCACGTCATTTAAGACTTGCGGTGTTGGCAAATTTATGAAAGCTAGTGGTACAAATAAATATAGGAATAAAATAAATAAATATAGAGAGATATTATCAAACCACTAGATAGGCTTATTAGGCTAGCGTGTAATTTAAATTAACGCTTGAAATTATTATTATCTGAAAATAATATGAACAGTTTCAAGTGTCAAAATCAAAAGTCTAAGAGGAGTCATTCACTTTCTACTACAGGAGCTGAAACTTTCTATATTTTGACTTTTAGTCTCAATAGCCAGCGGCATTTGAAAACCCACGAAGTATCTACGAGTTGGACTTGTGCACGAAGAGTTACGTAAATGTATGAAAAAAAAATTAAATACAGCCAGCCATTGTTATGATCAAACAAAAAACGCAAAAAAAATCACTTATGTTTTAAATTTTATGAAATATACTTTATATTTTAACTTAATTTTTATTATGTTGGACTCCTTTAAGGGGCCTCCCGCTGGGTGGGAACGATTGCATTGTTTCGCCGATATCTCTGTTATTTTGTATGAATACCCTATACAAACTATATATATTTGGATTCTCCGTAAAATTTATTATAAAACGGTGTCTACACAATGCGTGATGTCTATAATCTATTTTAATTACGTTACGGTAAACTCGGGAAAGATAAAAAAAGCGTTCAGATGGGGTAAAATGGAGTATATCTTCAAAATTTTAAAATTACATGTCCAGGTTTTTTGGTTATTTGCACAGTCTATTATAACTTACTAAATAAAATCATAAAATACCATACTCCCACAATTTAATTTTAAACTATAGTTCTCAGAATCCACGCGCCAGATGCGTAAACAAACACGCGTTAGAAAAAACAGGTGTTGGGTTTCAAGTAGGCGATAAAGATTAGACGGGCAGTCTATAGCCATGATTTATGGGTTTACGATTAGTTAAGATTGTAAAAATCACTTTGAAAACAAGTGTGGCATGAAAAGTCCTTTTTCATTTTATAGTTTTAAGAACTTGCAACAAGGCATTTTAAAGTCGCCTACAAATCAGTCATCTCAATTTTATGTCGATAAAACGAAAAGTTCTTACAATTTTGATAAACAGTTTCTTTTATCAAAATGTACATTAAATTTGCTTTAGAATAAACAAAAACTAATCACTAGTTCGCATACAAGAAAATTTTCAAAAATACTAACTCAAGAGATTCTCTGTATTCGACATATTAATCATGAATAATTTATTCAATAATTATAAATTAAAACATTACAATTATTATCGAAATTATCACCTTGAAAACATAAGCCACAAACCCTTTTTTTTATTGTTTTTTTTTTCGAGGTCGAGAACAAAAAAACTATTAAAAAAAAACACGTAAACCCGCCAACGAAACATCAAAATAGAGTAACTTAATGTATTGAACTTGCCCAGGGATGGTGTTTTTTTTTAAAAAACCACTGAAAAACACTTTAAATAGTCTGAATACACAGCATATTTTTTTTCACACAAAAAACGGCGAACGACGAACTTCCACAAACAACAGTATAAATATTTCATATGGCAGTTGACTTAATCAATGGCTAGATAGCTAGCCTGTTCTTTCCTCTACAAATTGATATAAGAATGTAGGTGATAGCAAAAAGAATGAATCTTATATTTTCCATAGAATAAGTGGGGTCGCGAGCGACCGAAAGTCTGTCGATCAGCATTATAACGATTTTTGACAGAGACCGAAAGTCGGTCGATCAGCACTTAAGAGGGAATTGTTGCAATAAATTTAACTCTCTTATAAGAGCAAACCTAGCATGCTGACAAACGCAGCAAAATACTAAAAATAACTCCAAATGTGTTATTTCAATTCCCTTTCTGTAAATGCTCTATAGTAGGAGATCAAGTTCCTAGATTTATCTCTGTCCTAGAAAAGAACATTTCCATTGCATCTATAGAGAGGTCACTTTAGTTCTTTGAATAATTCATGAGAAATGTAAATGAGTGTTTACGAGATACTGAACGAATTCCAAAGGGTATTCTTGTGTCCGAAGATATATCATATTCAATTCAGTAACATTTCAATGCAAGACCATGCTGATTCAGAATATATTATATGATTCATTCATGAAATCAACCTAGTCAAATCATTGCCGCGTCTCCAAACATTGCATAGATTTTTAATTGTAAATATTTCGAACATATTTATATTGCATCTTGTTTAATCGGACTTACAAGTAGGTAAGTATTTAGCCGTAGCTAGATTCACGCATCTATATTTCCCTAAATACTTTAAGATATTATGTTAGCAGTTTCGAATCCATCACGGGAATCAAGTCTCCAAGATTTTTGATTGCTTTTTTCCGAGTACTTTAAACCGTGATAGAATAACTCAAACGTTTGTTGTGTACTTAAAGTCGTTTGAAAACATTGCCTTGTCGTAGATCGATATCTACTATTTTCATGATGGTACTTCAGTTCCGTTGCTTTCGAGTCTCATTATTGTTGATCCGAGATTAGGATCACGGAATCGGCAACTGAACAACCGATTTGTGCATTCTAACGAATACGTGACGATCCCTTAGAAAAGGGTTTAGACTTGGCTCATTTATAATTCTGGCATGTATTATCAACATGCTTAAGAGTTCGTGTAGTTACGCTCCAATGGGTCCTTACACCGTATTCATCATAATCACCATTAGCATTTCCAATTAACCAATAAGTTGGTTTTAGAAGTTAAATAATGAAATTTCTGATTTGTACTGAAAAATTAAAACTCGCTTTTTATTTGATCAAAATATTTACCCTCAAGAAAGTAAGTAATTTTCCGGAAATATTAATACTTAACTTTGATTTCTCCCTGAAGACGATCTCCGTGGCCGAGTGGTTTATACGCCGGGTTTCATGGTGTCGCCGACTCGAGAGGTCCCGGGTTCGAATCCCGGTGGGAGCAGCTGTTTGTGTGAGAATACGAGCATTTGTACTCCAGTCATGGATATTTAATATGTATTTCTATATAAATATACTTACATAAATGTACAGTATATGTATTCTATCCGTTACCCTAGCATCCCATAACACAAACCTTACAGTACTTACTTCGGGGCTAGGCTAATTGGTGTGAGTGTTGGAAATATTTATTTATTTATATTCATATTTCTGAATATTGATGCTGAAAATCTAAAGTTTCAGGCCTCTGACAGGATTCGAACCTGCACCTGTCATCCGGATAGCAGAATTTATAAATCTTTAGATTTCTAAATATAGCAGTTTAAAATAACAATATAATATTCTGATGCTTTCTAAAAATAGCAATAAATACAAATCTATACTTCGCATTTACGCACTGCTTTTTCAAAATAACTGTTAATGTAAAACTACAAAACAGCTCTATTTCAAATAAAACCACATTTTTATGCTTCAATTCGAAACTTTAAATATATTTCAACATTACGCATACGACTCACGCGACACTGTAGGTGCATATATGTATGAGGCAGCTAAGTAATTCAAAATCGATCTCTGATCCGCCAACCATCACATACAACTGAGAAAACGTCCAATGAATACAAAGTAGTGAACTTTATGGACACAGCCATAATTGCAACCCTGCTGAAAATGGCAGCCGTGGGAAAATGTGACGACACATTTTAAATATTTAGATACTTTTCTTATCGAAGAAAAAGATTGGAAAAGTCTAGCTTTTATCGCTTGCGCTCGATGAGCATTGGTAGGTTAAAGTTTTCATTACTATAATCGAAACCAAGTATTTATTCTTTCTAGATAAGAGATAGATAAAATTTAGACCCTGCTATTTTTGAGTCTGGACTCTACAACTACTTAGCATTAGGTGGAGTGGATTCATTAGCCATTAGGCAAATGAGATGGGGGACAACTTTACCCCTTGTGAAGTACCTCCACCATACCTGAGCCCTCTATTGGTGTCTAATAATAATGATCGTCAGAGGGGCCAACACATGTCAAAAGGTCAAAATCTCTTCATGGCCGGCAATTTATTGGAGGTTGAAGAGATAATAAATATAGAAAATGAGGCTGTGGTAAATTTTCTTCACCAGGGGAAATTGTAGTAACTTATAATGGATGTAAGTAAAAGATTTTCTGATTTTTTGATGCCAATGAAGTGAGCACTGCATATTATTGTTTTATTTATTTATTTAATAATCACTTACATCTATCATTACAGGTATAACCTAATACAATAGAGCAGTTACGATACATCCAATTATTATACAAAACTAAAAATAAAAAAAATAAAACACAAACACGAAGTATTTCTATTCAGATGCCAATAATAGGGTATTTGACAGTATTAAAAATAAAATGCCAATTGTTAGCATCTGTGTTAAGAATGAATATTGGCAGGGGTCTTTACTATTTTTACAAAAAAAATATTCATTATTTTACTAAAAACCCACGAAAAAGATAAGAATAAATAAAGAATAGTTTTCTTATCTATTGTCACGTGACCCAAAACGCTTGGGATTGGCGGAGCCTAAAATGACGTCACACGCAAGTAAACTTCCGGTTAAAGTGACATTACATTGTATCGGTTGACGTTTTAATAACGATCGTGTGACGTCACACACTAGTAAGCCTAAGTTATTTTTACCGAAATACACAACAGTTTTTACGGACTCCATTAACATTAGTCAAAATTTTGAGACATTAGTTTGATATGCATTACGTTATAACACGACAAAATGTCGCTATGCCCTTAGAATCAGCCAGTATAAGATATTTGACATTTCTCAGATACCCGAATATATATATTTTTTTATAGATAGGTGCGACAAATGACTCCACCCCACCTGATGTTAAGTGATGGTGAAGTCCAGACGTGAAGATAGCTGGTACAGCCGTTCCACCTTCCACACCAGCCATCCTCACCTTGCCGACCTGCATGTTGCTTCTTCACGCCTCTTTTAAAGGATCCCAGGTTTTAAGAAGGAGGGAACACGTGAGCAGGCAGAGCATTCCATTTACGGATAGTGCGACAGAGAAATGAGTCACCAAACTTTATACGCGTTAGAATTGTTGCCACAGTTAGACGATGACAACGAAGGCCAGCGCGCGTGGTCCTCTGAAGGAAAGGGGAAGGTGGAATAAGAGAGAATAACTCTTCAGAACACTCGCCGTGGTACAGACGATAGAACGAGCTTAGTGATGCCACGTCACTGCGTAATTGAAGAGGCTCGAGGTGAATTAGATCATAAGTGAGATTGTATCTGAATACAGAATACCTGTCCTGGTTTCGCCCGGATAGCAAATGATGCGTGTTCGAATCCCGTCTGAAACTTAGACTGAGCAGATTTTTTTCTAGAAATATGTATTTTCTTTGCTCTAAAATAATAAGGCAAGAATTAAAGGTGCTTATTTCAATATATTTATTGATTCGTATTTGAAACAACTTCAGTTCTCTAGAATCGTTTCTAATATCCATTCTTTAAAAGAATATACTCTGGAGTACACGTCTGGGTAGCCACGTGCACACGGCATACCCCAGGATACGACGCCGACCAGGCGACCATTCTCCACTAGGGGCCCGCCAGAATCACCCTGCGAAAGAAGATGATATAATGATGATCTTTACTTTAGTACTATGCTCAAGACTAGATCAATCACTGAGAATCTTTCTATAATACGGGCCTTAGGCTCGTATTACAGAATCAGAACTAAGTGTTGATCTTTACTTGAGTACAGTTGGAAAGTCATTCATCATCCCTCTGTCCGTCATTCAAAAAGTTTAGCTCACTACGGTTATGTGGGTGCTGATACCCACTTAACCGTAGTGAGCTAAACTTTTAAGTAACTCCCGTCCTGCGTTTTGTGCGTCTGTCGATTAGGAAGCCCAGTATTTTTTTTTATTATACCCTACGATACACAGCGAGCCATAATAAATGCTCATGATTATCAAATAATATGAAAAAATACTACATACACCTCGTGCATAAACATTCTTATATTTGTATGTAAATTGAAAAAAAATATATGCTAATGAAAAAAAGTTTCAAATTTTTTTGTAGATCTATAGAATTATAAAGTAGAATATTTCTTTACTTACGTGGCAAGCGCCTTTACCGGCCTTAGTGAGGGAGCATATCTGAGAATTGACGACCTCATTGATGCCATGAAAGCGTGTCTGACAAATTTCCACGCTGATGGCCGTCAAATTGATGACCTGCAGCTGATTCGGTAGACTCCCCGGGTACTAAGGATGTGAAGAAAATCAATAAACTCCGTAAATTAGGTCCCTAACTATAATAGGTATATTTTTATTTATCTTGTCTCAGTACAAAGTAAATTGGGCTAAGAATTTGCACCAGGCATGTTGTGAAGCTCCGTAACCGAAACTTTTGGAAAAACTCATAAAGGAAATGGTTATCACAATTTGATGGCAAAAAAAGCATACAAGGCCAGCCTGATCCTAATCGGCCAGCAAACAGGGACGTACTAGGCGGCAGGTAGCAAAGGACACCAAGTGTGGAAACAATTTGCAGCGATAAAAAAATATTATTATGAACCTTACCAAAGTTCGCTGAAAGATATTTTCGCTCTACGCTACATTGACCAAAGCTTAACTTTTTGCACTCAGAAACTAATTAATAACACTTTTAACAAGAAAATAAACATGACATTGCAAACTCATTTTCTCAAACTAGAACGAACGTAGTCGATATCTCAAACAACAAAGAATATAACGGTAAATCTTACCGTAGTTGTACCCCACCCGGTGAGAGTAAGATCGGCGCCTGCGACCGTGTCATTGCGAGGCAGTTTGATAGGCTGCACTTTACTGGAGAACACTATGTCCTGGGCGACCTTCACCACACTGACATCGTTCTGTATGAGACCCCCGTTGTACTTCTCATGGACCACGATCTTCTCGACGGAGTACTTGCTGCCCCCGCTGACCAGGGAGTTGGTGCCAACGACCACGTCGAAGTAATAAGGTGGTTTACTGGAAAGAACACAATATAAGAATTACTTCTACAGCTGTAAGGATAAAATTACAGTTTTAAGCATTAAACTGCTTGATTACGTAAACATTTGCTTGCTTATAATTTTAAAAAGATATTAAGTTTCTTTCCTTTCATTGTTACAATTAAACTCAAGCAATTATGACCTGGAGTGAAATTAATTTTTTTACTCCTCATTTCGCATTAAATGAATGCTGAATTTCCACAAGCCCTTTTCTTTGTTTCAGTTGGGTAAAACAATTAAAATTACCCTCGACAAAATCGTTATAATTTTAACGATGCTCTTAATTTACTTCGGTTCATTTTAAAAATTAATTTGCAAGTTTTATAGCTGACTGGGAACGCCTTGACAATTTCTCGAAATTACAATATCCTTTTACGTAGGTAAATTACAAAGTGACGTTGAATCGAGAAGGTCATTGCGTTGAATCGTCACAAATATTTTATTGTCTATTTAATTAGCATTTTTCAAACAATCTATCTCTATCAAGTAAACAAATAATAATGCCTTGTTCTGAGTAGTTCTTAGTACTTAAATAATAATCGTTTCTGCGATAGCTATTAGCGAGTTAAGTATATGACAATCTCTATTCGTTGGGATCGTCTTAGATAGTGAGGATGCACAGGTATCAGGTACAGCTAAGGCCAAACATAAATACTTTCAAGAGTACTATAAATGTGCAAATTGATCTCAATTGACGACCTCCGTGGCCGAGTGGTCTGTACGCCGGGTTTCATGGTGTCGCCGACTCGAGAGGTCCCGGGTTCGAATCCCGGTGCGGGCAGATGTTTGTGTGATGAATACGAGCATTTGTACTCCAGTCATGGATGTTTAAAATGTATTTCTATATAAATATATATGTACAGTATCCTACCCTAGCTTCCCATAACACAAGCCTTACAGTGCTTACTTTGGGGCTAGGCTAATTGGTGTGAATGATGTAAATATTTATTATTATTATTAATTTGCTGAATAACAATGTTGTTAACGACGTGACGCTGGCAGGTAAGCAAATCGCAAACCAACCTTTTCGTGTTTGCAATCCGCGCATTCACAACGCACAACTCGAACAAGCTGAAAACTTATGTTGTTATTTCTTATTTTTAGCAAACAGAGGAGACAGCTTCATTTTCAGGGTTCCATACCTCAATCGGCAACAACGGAACCCTAATAGGAACACTCGGTTGGCTGTCTGTCTGTCTGACCGATCAAGTAGAAAATTGGTGCATACATGAATGTCTGTGTACCCAAACACGGACGAATAAAGTAAATAAATAAATTCCGAATATGTGTGGTTACTACTGGGGAGAGATTTAAAAAATCAAAATGTATTTAATTGTACCGTGTTATATATCAAATGAAAGGGCTCAATGTGAAGGCTTTAAACATTTTTTTACAAAATTTAATGGAATAGTTTAAAAAATATATAATTAGGACATACTTACCCCCGAAACCACTGCGTTTAAAAAAAATATAGAATGTAGCTTTGCTTTTATATTACAGGAAAACCTTTAAGAATTTTATTGTATAATGGAACGGACGCCTTCGTGCGCAAGTCTGACTCGCACTTTCGCTTTTCACCAACGTGTTGTAACAAGGTGACATGTGCCTACTTACCCCACGGTACAGTGTGCCGCCGTCAAAATCCACCGGCTATTGAGTATGGACCCGCCACAGAAGTGAGAGCCGAAGCTTCTGAGGGACACTTGGTAGGGGTAACCGCCGTCCGCCGCGACCTCCCCGCCTACTATACGGCTAGTGATGAGCCGGATGTCATTGGTATGGAAAACAGAGCCTGTAGGATGAAATAAAGTATGATGTTGATAAAAATTGCTGGTGAAAACAAAAATTATAAGAGTATTGTACTATTAAACGTTAAGATTCTAAAATTAAGGAATATAATACTGACATCAATTACATAGATGTTACTAACCTAATAAAATCAAATGCTACTAGTATGTGAAGTCTAGAAATAAGTGTTATTTCCAAGCTTCTCATTTCCAGAAATAATCAAAAAAAAATTATTAGAAAAAAACAACTTGGTCTATTATCGGAATCATCTATTAATGAAATGAAATGAAACTATCGGAATATATAAGTTTATATCGCAAAATATTCCAGAGATAATTTTATCAACACGTTTCAAATATACTGCGTGATTGATATCCTCAATCGGATTATGGGGTCGGTTCTCAAATTATGTCAATATCTAAATTCATGAAAATCGTTATCGTCTAAATTTCACAATCACTTGACAATCTTTTTTATAAAAAAAAAGTAACTTTTCTTCCAACGGTACTTATTATGGTAAATATTGAGGGTTTGCACCAAATGCTTTGCTTCTATCTTTTATTGCGTTTTGAAATTCGCTACTGGCTACTACTCTGCCTTATGGGACATACAATCTCGGTCTATTCAAATTGCGAGTGAATATGTTTTTAATACCAAGCATGCTCCATATATAGCTTTTCAGTCCGTTTGCCGTAATCTCTGTTTTGGAGATTCAGTGGAAACGCAGTATATGGTGGCGTAACGTTTCCCTCACGTGGGCTATGGTAAAATGCAAACCATTTTTGAAATAAAAAAGTCATTAGGAGAAATTTGATATTTTAGTTAACTTGGCCTGTTGCTGATGGTAACTGAAGTCCTATTTAGGGATTGGAACAACTTGAATATAATATAGAGCAAATTCTTTCTATTTCTTTAACAAATGACTATTGTATTCATTAGTCTAGAAGGTGCGAGAATTTCCATTGCACTTATAAGTGGGTACTTACAGGAACCTTTTTTTTAGAATTTAGTATTTGGCTTTATCGTACTAATATTATAAATGTGCAAGTTTGTATGTTTGTTACTCAATCACGTAAAAACTACTGAATGGGTTTGGATGAAATTAGGTACGCATATAGACCTGGCTTGGCACATAGGATACTTTTATCCGGGAAAAAATTTTGGTTCCTGTTGGAACCCCAAAAACCTAAAGTTAACGCGGACGAAGTTCCGGGCAGCTGCTGCTGCTTTAGATTTTTTTTTAACTTACCATGAGCCGTTATGAGCAGAGACACAAATGCAAGCAAACCGAACATCTTGACAACGAATGCGGCTCTTGAAATTATTGTGAAACAAATATCGCAGCTGAAGCTTTTATACCTACCAGAAGTTTAAACTAAACCCTTCAAAGATTACAATCTATATGCTCAAATGAATTGGTATGACGTCAAAGGTATTATAGATTTAATCTAATTATTGAGCATTAGTTCAATGTCTTGCGTGTAATATAGAGCTATTAATTAGTGACAATTGAGAGAGGTACTTCACCTTACAGAAGATTGTTTGTGTTGATTGTTGATTGTACAGAAGATCACAGTAAAATTACACTATTTTTTGGTGGTGTTGTGTTTTTGTCAGTGACGAAGGTTCCAGACCTCCTCGGGCGATTGGGTCAGGTTATTTTTGCTATAGGCCACTTGCCATCAGATAGGTCCATACTCTTGTTTGTCACCGTTTTAACATAAAAAAATTCTTCAATATCACTCGTATAATGTTCTACGATAAATAACTCGCAATGAAACTATGCGATATCATTATGCGAACAGCTAGTTCCAATATAATCTGGACATCTTCAAGGCCAGAGTGAACAGGCATCTTCTAGGCAGGCGTGTACCATCCTAGGCCTCATCAACGCTTTCCATCAGGTAAGATTGTGGTAAAAGGCATTGCCTATTTTGCATAAAAAAAATCTAAACGCTAAAACAATTTGCTTTTTTTAAAACAAACTTACTAGGCCACTTGCATTAGCAACCTTTAAGACCTCTTTCAAAAGTAGTTTTATAGTAACACTAACGACCGCCCGCGACTTCAACCGCATTCACTTTAGTTTTTTAAGAATCTCACAGGGACTTTACATTTATGTAAAAAGTATTCTAAATCTCAATCCAGGTCATATAGCGTACCTAATTTTATCCCAATGGATAAAATTAGGTACGCTATATGATTGTACGCCATTGCGTGATTGAGTGTTCAAACAAAATTACAAAGATTCACATTCATATATTAATATGAACAACATTCAGTTTTATAGCGGATATAGAGCAATAGCCATACTGATATGACTTGTACGAAAACTATTGATGTCAACAAAAGTTTTAATAAAGTTTATCAGCAGAAAAAGGGAAAAAAACTGATTTTAATAATCTAACAAACAGCACAACAGAAAACAAAAGTGAATGCACTTGCCAGCTGATAAATAATTATATTCTATTTATCAATGTCATTATGTTTATCTTTAAGAGTAGGCACTACAAAACGGTTGTATCGTACGATAATTTTGAAATAGCTACTGTAAGATTATAATTAACATTGACATAAGGACCTACAATTTTAAAAGTATATTAAACATGACTCTAACAAAATTAGGCACTTTGAATTAGTTAAAAACTTTAAGTGCTTTCACTACGGGACCATGACAGGTTTTTATATTGTATATATTTGGTAGGAAAAATAATATGGATGATTCAAAAGAGTTGTATTAGGCTTCCTATCTGAAAAGATTTTGATTTTGGATTGAATTGAAAATCATAATAAAGTTTTACGATCAACATAATATTCAAATATTTTTCCTTTCCACAAAACATTCTTTTGTCAATCAGTTAAAAGAAGATCTACTTGGAGTGCAGAAGAAGACACATTAAGGAATCTAATAATAAATCTTACAGAACATGTAACGCGTATTATCTAATATACGGAGGCGGAGGTAGACTGTATTTGACTTCAGTCGTCAGTACCTTAACCTTGATACATAAGTATCTAATACATGTTTACCAGAAATATACTGTACCCTTAGTACGAACCAATATCGAATTCGTAACGTTTGCGAGTGCGAAATGTCATTGTCAACTTTCGTATGGAAACTTGAACAGCAGCGCCAAAACGGACGTAATGAGAACTAAAAATCAGTATACATTTAACAATGACATTTCGTACTTGCAAACGTTATGAATTAGATATTGGTTCGTGCTTAGGATACAGTATATTTCTGGAAAACATGTATTAGATAAATAAAACTAGTTTTTACGGGTTAATGCACGAAACTTTATTTATTTATTGACGTTTCGCAGCCTTTACAGGCTTCGTCGTCAGAATAAAACTTTTATTTAATTTGTCGAGCTACCTTCGAAAGACTTTTATTGAGCGTTCGGTTATTTCATTGTGAGAAGAACCGGCGAAACAAACTCAAGAGACTTCGCCGGTTCTTCTCAGAAAGGTCTCCCAATTTTGGAACCGGTGGTAGTTTACGGTAGTTAGGGTCAAATAAATAAACTCAAAATTACAAAAAAGAATTTTTAATAAAATACTTTATTAAGTAAATTAAATAATAAGTTCATACATAGACAATAAAACTTAAAAATCGAACTTTTTTTACATAATATAAACATTGCAGAGATATATTGATTTGAAAAGTCGCATGATGTCACGTTTTGGTACACTTTTAAGTGAAAATTCACTAAAAAGTGACGTCACGAGTCCCTACTCCCAAACTTTGACGCGCTATAACTTTATCATTTTTTGGTTGATTGCCCAAAGAAAAAATACGTGTCCATTATTTTTAGATCATCTAACTGGCGGACTAAATAGAATTTCGTTTACTGTACCCCGTCATCACCCCTTTTATACCAACTGCGCTCAGAAATGGCCTAATTAAACAAAACATATATTAAAATATATGTATTGTAAAGAGTCATTTTGCTCAAAACTGTCGTCTTCTTTTTTGATGTCCCATTGTATTTAAGTGTAGTGAAGTTACCTCTACGAAAATATCACATTAGTGTCGGTATTAGTTCTTGGACCACCTTCGTCCAGTCTGCTTTATTGTCAATATTGGTTCAATATTGGTGAACATACCTAACTTTAAATATTTACTCTGTTCTTGTTTGGTATTGTATTGAATAAGTGAGTGCTAGTCAAGAGCCCTTATATGTAACAAGGACATTGAACTATTAATTAAATCTCTTTGTGCATTTTAGACCTGTCCGACTTATTCCAAATGTACATTATTGTACATATTAAAATATTTTTTCTTTTACATGCCTGGCAATTTTTATGCTATGTCAACCCCGAAAAACATTGGTAACTTACATAATATAATTACACTTATCACATCTGTCTGTTAACCCTAGATTTAAGATGCTTACAGAATTTCACGTCTTTTGTTTACATTAACTATTTTCCCTGCCATGCCGCACTGATTACCTGAATACCTTATCTAAATAGTAGTTGATTAATCAAGAAGAAATTTATCCCATAAAATTACTATAACTCAAGCTTACTCTCATCTTATTATTTATCATGCTGTTACAAATTAACAATACTGTTATCCATCTTATGAGATAAATAAAATCACTGCTGCACGACAGACCTACTCCGCGGGGAAATTTTCCAGGCGTCTCAGTTTATAATGTAGCATAGAACACAAAAGCCTTGAACAAAATAAACAGTCAAAGATGATTCTCACCACTACGAATTTTCTCGTAGCTCGCTACGTAGTAACATGGTGCTACGAATCACTCACTGAGCTAATGGAAATATCTTGAATTTGTTACAGTTGCTTCTCCCATAAAAAACCTGCGGGGCTATTCTGTAAAATTTTCACGCGCGGATCCGATGCGATCTATATGGAAATCGAGCGGATCCGAATCGGATCCGCGCGTGAAAATTTTACAGAATAGCTCATCTGGTTGTAATTTTACCTGTAGATAATTTTTCAAAAGTTATATTAAAACTAAGGCTCCCAGCCTTAGAATGAGTTTTGACGAGAACCTGGCAATAACTCCCTTTCATATACTTGTTCATTTTGGTTTGAAAATTGTTTCTTGCTTTGAAAATTTTGGGACTTTTCCTTGCACTTATTGTTAGTAAATTCGTTGATTGTCTATTGTAACATATTTGACATTATGTGATGGAAGTTGACCTCAACACATGTTTGCAAGTTTGATGTCAACTTTCAATTGGACGACACTGTATGAAATAAAACAGTTAGAAAAAAGCAGCCCTTTCTGAGTTTCTTGCCGGTTCTTCTCAGTACAAAGTCTCCCGCCGTAGATTTGCGAACCGATGGCGTAACTTTTCGACATTCACAAGTGCTTGTAATAGCCTAGACTGAAAAAACGATTTTGAATTTTGTTTTTTTTAATTTTCATATCTGTGCGACGAAGCTTAGATTCTGAAATGCGCTAAAATTAGAGTAGATTTGAATTAGTTCCAACGTAAGTATGCTCCTTCAACTGCACAATCCACACAAATTTAAACCCAAAACTTATTTTATGCGTGTCAAAATCGCTGGTCAAGCTATCGCCTAGTCTATAGGCATGCAGACGATAAGTCATTATTTCGAACGTTAATTTTAGCCCATTCAGTACCAAAGCCACATGAAAGCCACCCATAGTTGTTGGAGAAGCGTAAAGGAAATAATATAAATCTTTCTGTTCTACGAATTTGGCATTCGAAAGTACAGCTGTTTAGGTGACTCAATAGGTGTTCGTAACACGAAAAAAGGAAAAAAATAGTATGAAGTTCTGTAAGACGGAAGCCATTCCAAAATACTTTGTAAACCATTCCACATGGATCATATTACCAAAGCCTACGCAGATAAGCTGACTTATACAATCGTTTACGATCTAGAGACAGACAGAAGTGAAACTTCTTTAGCTCCATCTGTATATATATATATTTATATATATGTGCGTGTACAATATATACATGTATGTACATATAAATATTTCATTGACTAGCTATAAAAGAAAGAGAGAAAGAAATTGTGCGCGCGCACTACTTTCTCTTGCATATATCCCCCACTCAACTCCCGTTCGCCTCGCTCGAACACACTTTTCGTAACGCGTAACGCATTCGCCAGCTAACCCCCCAAGTCAAGCGTGTGTAAAGAAGTTTCACTTCAAAAATACATATTCTATTAATAGCAGCTGCGAAATGTGGATTGTGTTCATTATAACCTAATTACCAAACAATCCTTCATCGTTCGTATTGATTTCACATAAAGGGAGATAACTCTTGCGGCCGTTTAAAACACATA